CAGCCTGTAGGTTGAAGTTAGGATCCTTCTGTCGATCTGCTGCTGTAGCAGAAAGGACGCTGACTTCGGCGCCTGTGTCGACTAGATATCTAGTCTGGCTAATTACATCATGGATGTAAAGTAAGCGGCTAGTGCCACCGGCGACGGTCGCCGCTAACGCGTGCCGGCGGGATAGTTTCCCACAGACTTGGAGGCTTTGCCGAAATCACAAGGTTTTCGACAACATTTTGCTTCCTTGCCATAGGTGTTGTGATACCAACACCAGTCAGGATTTTTGAGAGAACGTGTGTTGGACTTAGATCGTCCACGTGCGTTTTGCCGTTGAGGGGATTTGGAACGACGGTCGGAGGAATTGCTAGGCTTGTTTGACCTAAGCATCTGCTGGACGGAGTTGCATAACTCTATCATTGCAGAATCCTTACTCGAAGTCTGTTCGGTAACTGAGTATACTTCGGTAACTGGCCGTTTCGTTATCTCTAGAATTCTATCTGCAGAGGCAGCTAAGTCATCTATGATAACACCCTGAAGTGTCACCAGCACAGTCTGAACTGACTGTGGCAGTTTGGATAAAAATAGTTCTCTGAACAGTCCTTCATCGAACTGACTTTGGCCAATGATCTCTTTCATTCTTGCCAGCATGCTCACGGCTGACTGATCTCCTAACTCGATGTTACGAAATAACTCATCTAGACGTTGTCGATCTGTGAGAACGTTTATCTTGAGGATGGATGCTTTGAGCAACTCGTACGAGTTACTTACCGACATCTGCAGAGTTACGCACCTGATGAATTCCCGCGGTAGGGCGTGAATAACTACAAGGAACTGGAAACGTTGATCGGTTATGCCATGTTCACAGAAATCGGACTCGCCAATCTGAAACCACGTTTCAGCATTATCTGGCCAATATGGTACTAGCTGGATTGTTTGGCGGTTGAGCGAATCTGAATAATCTTGGGGCTAGGATCACTCATGACGAAAAGTATGCCGATAACAATATAGTACAAGAATAAACACAAAAAGGAACGAACTCACCGGGTTTATCTGCGTGTGAATTGAAGATCTAGTTCGTGGTTGGGCTCACCAGTTTAAGGGCTGCGTGGGTATCGACGTTCGCGAGTTGTACGGATTATACTAACGCAAGATCTTATACCAACAACCACTATAGTGTTCGTTCTTCGAGTACCAAATGGTAAAGCAAAAGACCAGATTTTGTCGTCCAAAGTACGTATTATATTTCGGGACAAAATCGCGGGTAGAGGTGAATGCTTAGCTAGCTAGTAATCGTGCACGCACGTGACACGACGGAGCACCAAATGGCGGGGATGCTTGACCGGAAGCATTCAGCTAAACAAGTCGAATTAAACAGTGATGGTCAGCATCCAATGTTGAGTGATGATTGCTGTGGTCAATAATTTTTGGGAATTATTTACCGCTACAGTCTAATTATGTGTATCCAATCGTCAGGCAATGATCTGAAACAGATAACAAGGCGTATATTAGCAGGCTAATCACACGAGTACTGAGCGCCAGTAAGAACGAGGACTGAAGTTCAAAGATTATATTTACGACCAGTCCTGTGACAGATGAGTGAATGAAGAGGAATCTTCCTATTTGCTGCCCATCACGTCGTCTTGGGTCACCAGTCCATGTACACAGTGCATCTGACCTGAAATGCGACTAGGATGCACTGCAATCATAAGAAAACCACCTGATATAGTTTGCCATATAAGGAACACCCATAAACCCCTATTTAATGAATAGCAGAGTCTGTGGATTGATACATTTAGACAAAGACTCGCTAGTGTTACGTCTCATGCTACTGCTGATCATCAGTCATCGGTATCCACTCAGCAATGAAACACATTATTTATTGTTATGATTCAAATTTGATAATATTGAGTGCATACCAATATACTTCTGTAAATGGAGAGGCCAAAAATAAACTTAATGCAAATCTTTTCTTGTATGACTTGTCATATAAAGGTCCTCTTGGTAATGTCTGCAGTGTGTTAGTTAAGCCGCCACGGGACTGGATTACTCTATCTATACATGTATATGTTAGACTATGTTGAATGTTATGAGTTTCACTGCTTATCAATGTTATATTGGGCGCAGTTCTTCGTTTTTAACAATTATTAACGGAATTTCACATCATGTTAACGTGAAACCCGGTTCATTGTTTGAAGGCTATATGTTTTTGGAGGGCTATTAGAAAGGTACGCGTGGTTTCGTATAATTCTTTCCTCTACATTTAATCATTTAAAAAAATACTGAGTGTGAAAGTGGTGGCTAAATTGATCTTGTAAGCGTCACATAATTTATTGATATTAACGACTTTTTTCGCGCTGACCCGAAAGATACCATAGATTGAATACAATCTAAACGGGATATGCGTATATCCAATACTGGATTCTGCGTTGACAATTTACTGGCTACATTATAAATTTACCCATGAAAACAAATGGGTTAGACCCAAGAGATTTGTATATCCTAATCTTGCGTTCACTGGGTTAACATTATCCCCAAGTCAGTGTCTTAGTTTTCGCCCACTATTTCCCCTGTTAATATCATGTGTTACCGACTAGACATGATTTCAGTAGTTTTATCAAGCATATCTTTGGCTGAGTTTTAGACGGGTGTTCTCTGTCGAAAACGTCTTGATGCACATGTGAATACAAGAAATTGTGGACGTTGCTTTAATCACGGACGTCTGATATATATATATATATATATATATATATATATATATATCATGGCTAGCATATGTCCTCAGAAATACGTTTCCGACGCAGCATCTCAGCATTCAATATCCAGGCATGGTTGATTTACAAAGATTGTTGCGTAGTGGCTAGCAGTACTGTGCTGTTCTACGATATTCACAAACTCATGCTAAGTTTACACTTCAGCATCTGATTCTTAATACTACAGAGATGTACCACATATTAGGAGGAAGTGTTACTTGGTCTTACCCTAGGACATAATTGAGGTTCTCTTTATAATGAACGATTTCAAATTCAGACTCAAATGGCAAAGGGTGATAGGCTCTTGTGGCCTGTGTCAATCCTTGCAATATGTATCTCTGTAGAGGTCTAACTCCTCTCTAAGAGCATTCACCGATGTAACACGTGTTCAGTGTTCCATTTGGTGACCACCCTGTGTGAGAATCTAAATTCCACGTTACGATCTCGGAAGGGTATTGTAGAGGAAAAGGAAAAGTTTGGAAGGTCAACAGCCAAATCATCCTTTAAAATGCGATTCCCGTTCCCTGCGGTATGGTAATAGTGTTTAAATGTTTTAGCCTCTTCTCGTAAGGAAGGGAGGGGATGACACTGAGTAATTTAGTTTACGTCCTTTCTACTGCTTACGAGACTCGTGCTTTCTTGAAGTATAAACAAGTTGCTTGTATACAGTATTCTAGGTGAGGCCTGAGTACTTCAAACATAGACTCCTTCGAAGTGTTCATGGCATCCGAAAAGAATTAACTGCAGCTGTATTACAATATACAGTCGTTTTCAAATACTGCCTGATGATAATTCCTAAGTCCTCTTTCCCCTAAGCATTATACTGTTCTGTCCCAAGGGAATCCCTTTAAGACATCTGATCTAAACGCACTATTGCCCTGTTTCTGAAATTAGTTTCCATGTAAGACTTACCTGTCGTTTGTTTCTTATACCCTCTTTATGGTGCATGCCAGACTTAAAAGTCGGTGCCAATCCTCTGAAGACGAGGCTTATAACTGCATCTTTCCAGTCCCTGTACAACCTAGCATGAGTCAGACATTTCGGAAAACTTAAGTGGCAAGTATATTATATCAGCTAAGGAAACCATCAGTTTAGGCTGGAGTCCGTCAGGTCCTGGTGACTTACCTGGCCTCAGTTTAAGTAGTAGTTTACAAACTACTGCGTCATATAGTTAAGTGACACTTAGTGATGGCAGCAAATTTGCTAAACTCCTGGGTTTTACGGTCAGGCGAGAAAACATCACGGAAGTATTCAGCAAAGTTTTCAGACTTCGTTTCATTAGATTCTGCTGCCTCACCTTAATCGTTTATTAGTGACGGTATACTACTGCTTATTTTAGTCCTACGTTCTATATGCGTACAGTCTTGTGGGGCAATGTAAACAACCCAGTACTAACTGCCTGTCGTGCTCTATACGACTTTTGTCAACCATATACTTGCAAAGGTTCAGAATTTTACGGTAGCCTATCCGAAACTCCTTCCCTGTTACAGTAAACTGATTCCATAAGCTTTTCCTCTTTCTCAATAACCTTATTTCATTACTAATCATAGGTGGTTTATGCGAATTGATATATTCTAGAGACTAAGAGTTTGGCACCATTCAGGAATTCAAAAGCGTTTACATCAATATCAACCAGTAGGGTATTATTGTTCGCCTCACTGCAGTAATTGTCCTTCTGGCATATACATATTGAATTGAGTCTCTCATTTATGAAGATTTTTTGAAAAAACTAAATTGATTGGTATCACACTGAAACATGACTGAAAAATTAATTAGTCAACTAGTCTAAATCCTCTAGTGTAGTTTTTCTCGATGCAGTTCTCGAAATGTTTAGAACTGGTGTATAGAAACTTTTCAAAACATGGCCTTAGTAATGCCTGCAAAACTGAGCGTATTAATCGAATAGCCCATAATACACCTATCCCTTTTCGATGTCAATTTATCTGTTTCCTGGCCGTTTTAAAGCGTGTTGACACTAACGGATGCATCTGTGTGTAGTTGTAAGTCAGCAAGTGATGTCTTTTTACACATTCGCATCCAGACAGCGTCAATTTTAGTTTACTTTATGTATTTGTTTCACGAAATTAATACTTGAGATAAATTAAATTCCTCTTATAAACGAGCTAGCATTGTCACTCATTTGTAAGTTGGATTAGATGTAGAAAAAATATAGAAACAATTTTGTGTAATATAGGCAACAATATTACTTGTTTAACATGAATAGCTTGTTACTAACTTTATTTCGTTTTATAAATGTTCAGTTATAAACCTAGAGCCTGAAAAACAAGACTACTTCTTAAAGAACACCGTGTTCAATAATTACTATCATCTACAAAATTTGGTGTAAAAGCAATGACGAAAAAAGGAAAATCTCCAAATGTTAGCCACAGCAATGAAGATATCAATATGTCAAAAAATTCATGCGACAGCCCCTCAGCACACAGAAAACCTCCGTTTGGTGAACACAATAACAAAGGCCATCAACCAAAAAACATCGACTCCAAAAGTCAGTCGCATACCAGTCATCAATCACACAAACACAAACAAATAATACATAACCCAAAACTAGATGAGCATCAACGAAACCAAATCCAAACCTCTACAACAAACTCAGAAGACGATTCAAGTGACGAAATCTCCAAAAACACAAATTCCGTCACCAAGAATATTCAGCACCACATATTATCTGTCGCCCAGAAACAAACCACACAGTCTGCGCAGAAAAAGAAGCTTGCAGCTGCAGCGTCCAGTTCTGATTCCGACTCTAGTGACGATGAGCAGCCAGTGAGTAAGAAGCCTGCGATAGTGAAGGCATCTCCGGTAGTTGGTAAGCCTGCAGTGAGCATGGTTGGTGGTAAGAAGGTGGTTGGAAAGCCGGCGTCATCGAGTTCCGATTCAGATTCCAGTGATGATGGAGGTGCTGTTGCAGTGAAGAAGCCTGTTGTTGCAGCTGGAAAGCCGTTGTCGAGTGGTGTGCCACAGACGACGCCTCAGTCTGTGCAGAAGAAGAAGGTTGCAGCTGCAGCGTCCAGTTCTGATTCCGACTCTAGTGACGATGAGCAGCCAGTGAGTAAGAAGCCTGCGATAGTGAAGGCATCTCCGGTAGTTGGTAAGCCTGCAGTGAGCATGGTTGGTGGTAAGAAGGTGGTTGGAAAGCCGGCGTCATCGAGTTCCGATTCAGATTCCAGTGATGATGGAGGAGCTGTTGCAGTGAAGAAGCCTGTTGTTGCAGCTGGAAAGCCGTTGTCGAGTGGTGTGCCACAGACGACGCCTCAGTCTGTGCAGAAGAAGAAGGTTGCAGCTGCAGCGTCCAGTTCTGATTCCGACTCTAGTGACGATGAGCAGCCAGTGAGTAAGAAGCCTGCGATAGTGAAGGCATCTCCGGTAGTTGGTAAGCCTGCAGTGAGCATGGTTGGTGGTAAGAAGGTGGTTGGAAAGCCGGCGTCATCGAGTTCCGATTCAGATTCCAGTGATGATGGAGGAGCTGTTGCAGTGAAGAAGCCTGTTGTTGCAGCTGGAAAGCCGTTGTCGAGTGGTGTGCCACAGACGACGCCTCAGTCTGTGCAGAAGAAGAAGGTTGCAGCTGCAGCGTCCAGTTCTGATTCCGACTCTAGTGACGATGAGCAGCCAGTGAGTAAGAAGCCTGCGATAGTGAAGGCATCTCCGGTAGTTGGTAAGCCTGCAGTGAGCATGGTTGGTGGTAAGAAGGTGGTTGGAAAGCCGGCGTCATCGAGTTCCGATTCAGATTCCAGTGATGATGGAGGAGCTGTTGCAGTGAAGAAGCCTGTTGTTGCAGCTGGAAAGCCGTTGTCGAGTGGTGTGCCACAGACGACGCCTCAGTCTGTGCAGAAGAAGAAGGTTGCAGCTGCAGCGTCCAGTTCTGATTCCGACTCTAGTGACGATGAGCAGCCAGTGAGTAAGAAGCCTGCGATAGTGAAGGCATCTCCGGTAGTTGGTAAGCCTGCAGTGAGCATGGTTGGTGGTAAGAAGGTGGTTGGAAAGCCGGCGTCATCGAGTTCCGATTCAGATTCCAGTGATGATGGAGGAGCTGTTGCAGTGAAGAAGCCTGTTGTTGCAGCTGGAAAGCCGTTGTCGAGTGGTGTGCCACAGACGACGCCTCAGTCTGTGCAGAAGAAGAAGGTTGCAGCTGCAGCGTCCAGTTCTGATTCCGACTCTAGTGACGATGAGCAGCCAGTGAGTAAGAAGCCTGCGATAGTGAAGGCATCTCCGGTAGTTGGTAAGCCTGCAGTGAGCATGGTTGGTGGTAAGAAGGTGGTTGGAAAGCCGGCGTCATCGAGTTCCGATTCAGATTCCAGTGATGATGGAGGAGCTGTTGCAGTGAAGAAGCCTGTTGTTGCAGCTGGAAAGCCGTTGTCGAGTGGTGTGCCACAGACGACGCCTCAGTCTGTGCAGAAGAAGAAGGTTGCAGCTGCAGCGTCCAGTTCTGATTCCGACTCTAGTGACGATGAGCAGCCAGTGAGTAAGAAGCCTGCGATAGTGAAGGCATCTCCGGTAGTTGGTAAGCCTGCAGTGAGCATGGTTGGTGGTAAGAAGGTGGTTGGAAAGCCGGCGTCATCGAGTTCCGATTCAGATTCCAGTGATGATGGAGGAGCTGTTGCAGTGAAGAAGCCTGTTGTTGCAGCTGGAAAGCCGTTGTCGAGTGGTGTGCCACAGACGACGCCTCAGTCTGTGCAGAAGAAGAAGGTTGCAGCTGCAGCGTCCAGTTCTGATTCCGACTCTAGTGACGATGAGCAGCCAGTGAGTAAGAAGCCTGCGATAGTGAAGGCATCTCCGGTAGTTGGTAAGCCTGCAGTGAGCATGGTTGGTGGTAAGAAGGTGGTTGGAAAGCCGGCGTCATCGAGTTCCGATTCAGATTCCAGTGATGATGGAGGAGCTGTTGCAGTGAAGAAGCCTGTTGTTGCAGCTGGAAAGCCGTTGTCGAGTGGTGTGCCACAGACGACGCCTCAGTCTGTGCAGAAGAAGAAGGTTGCAGCTGCAGCGTCCAGTTCTGATTCCGACTCTAGTGACGATGAGCAGCCAGTGAGTAAGAAGCCTGCGATAGTGAAGGCATCTCCGGTAGTTGGTAAGCCTGCAGTGAGCATGGTTGGTGGTAAGAAGGTGGTTGGAAAGCCGGCGTCATCGAGTTCCGATTCAGATTCCAGTGATGATGGAGGAGCTGTTGCAGTGAAGAAGCCTGTTGTTGCAGCTGGAAAGCCGTTGTCGAGTGGTGTGCCACAGACGACGCCTCAGTCTGTGCAGAAGAAGAAGGTTGCAGCTGCAGCGTCCAGTTCTGATTCCGACTCTAGTGACGATGAGCAGCCAGTGAGTAAGAAGCCTGCGATAGTGAAGGCATCTCCGGTAGTTGGTAAGCCTGCAGTGAGCATGGTTGGTGGTAAGAAGGTGGTTGGAAAGCCGGCGTCATCGAGTTCCGATTCAGATTCCAGTGATGATGGAGGAGCTGTTGCAGTGAAGAAGCCTGTTGTTGCAGCTGGAAAGCCGTTGTCGAGTGGTGTGCCACAGACGACGCCTCAGTCTGTGCAGAAGAAGAAGGTTGCAGCTGCAGCGTCCAGTTCTGATTCCGACTCTAGTGACGATGAGCAGCCAGTGAGTAAGAAGCCTGCGATAGTGAAGGCATCTCCGGTAGTTGGTAAGCCTGCAGTGAGCATGGTTGGTGGTAAGAAGGTGGTTGGAAAGCCGGCGTCATCGAGTTCCGATTCAGATTCCAGTGATGATGGAGGAGCTGTTGCAGTGAAGAAGCCTGTTGTTGCAGCTGGAAAGCCGTTGTCGAGTGGTGTGCCACAGACGACGCCTCAGTCTGTGCAGAAGAAGAAGGTTGCAGCTGCAGCGTCCAGTTCTGATTCCGACTCTAGTGACGATGAGCAGCCAGTGAGTAAGAAGCCTGCGATAGTGAAGGCATCTCCGGTAGTTGGTAAGCCTGCAGTGAGCATGGTTGGTGGTAAGAAGGTGGTTGGAAAGCCGGCGTCATCGAGTTCCGATTCAGATTCCAGTGATGATGGAGGAGCTGTTGCAGTGAAGAAGCCTGTTGTTGCAGCTGGAAAGCCGTTGTCGAGTGGTGTGCCACAGACGACGCCTCAGTCTGTGCAGAAGAAGAAGGTTGCAGCTGCAGCGTCCAGTTCTGATTCCGACTCTAGTGACGATGAGCAGCCAGTGAGTAAGAAGCCTGCGATAGTGAAGGCATCTCCGGTAGTTGGTAAGCCTGCAGTGAGCATGGTTGGTGGTAAGAAGGTGGTTGGAAAGCCGGCGTCATCGAGTTCCGATTCAGATTCCAGTGATGATGGAGGAGCTGTTGCAGTGAAGAAGCCTGTTGTTGCAGCTGGAAAGCCGTTGTCGAGTGGTGTGCCACAGACGACGCCTCAGTCTGTGCAGAAGAAGAAGGTTGCAGCTGCAGCGTCCAGTTCTGATTCCGACTCTAGTGACGATGAGCAGCCAGTGAGTAAGAAGCCTGCGATAGTGAAGGCATCTCCGGTAGTTGGTAAGCCTGCAGTGAGCATGGTTGGTGGTAAGAAGGTGGTTGGAAAGCCGGCGTCATCGAGTTCCGATTCAGATTCCAGTGATGATGGAGGAGCTGTTGCAGTGAAGAAGCCTGTTGTTGCAGCTGGAAAGCCGTTGTCGAGTGGTGTGCCACAGACGACGCCTCAGTCTGTGCAGAAGAAGAAGGTTGCAGCTGCAGCGTCCAGTTCTGATTCCGACTCTAGTGACGATGAGCAGCCAGTGAGTAAGAAGCCTGCGATAGTGAAGGCATCTCCGGTAGTTGGTAAACCTGCAGTGAGCATGGTTGGTGGTAAGAAGGTGGTTGGAAAGCCGGCGTCATCGAGTTCCGATTCAGATTCCAGTGATGATGGAGGAGCTGTTGCAGTGAAGAAGCCTGTTGTTGCAGCTGGAAAGCCGTTGTCGAGTGGTGTGCCACAGACGACGCCTCAGTCTGTGCAGAAGAAGAAGGTTGCAGCTGCAGCGTCCAGTTCTGATTCCGACTCTAGTGACGATGAGCAGCCAGTGAGTAAGAAGCCTGCGATAGTGAAGGCATCTCCGGTAGTTGGTAAGCCTGCAGTGAGCATGGTTGGTGGTAAGAAGGTGGTTGGAAAGCCGGCGTCATCGAGTTCCGATTCAGATTCCAGTGATGATGGAGGAGCTGTTGCAGTGAAGAAGCCTGTTGTTGCAGCTGGAAAGCCGTTGTCGAGTGGTGTGCCACAGACGACGCCTCAGTCTGTGCAGAAGAAGAAGGTTGCAGCTGCAGCGTCCAGTTCTGATTCCGACTCTAGTGACGATGAGCAGCCAGTGAGTAAGAAGCCTGCGATAGTGAAGGCATCTCCGGTAGTTGGTAAGCCTGCAGTGAGCATGGTTGGTGGTAAGAAGGTGGTTGGAAAGCCGGCGTCATCGAGTTCCGATTCAGATTCCAGTGATGATGGAGGAGCTGTTGCAGTGAAGAAGCCTGTTGTTGCAGCTGGAAAGCCGTTGTCGAGTGGTGTGCCACAGACGACGCCTCAGTCTGTGCAGAAGAAGAAGGTTGCAGCTGCAGCGTCCAGTTCTGATTCCGACTCTAGTGACGATGAGCAGCCAGTGAGTAAGAAGCCTGCGATAGTGAAGGCATCTCCGGTAGTTGGTAAGCCTGCAGTGAGCATGGTTGGTGGTAAGAAGGTGGTTGGAAAGCCGGCGTCATCGAGTTCCGATTCAGATTCCAGTGATGATGGAGGAGCTGTTGCAGTGAAGAAGCCTGTTGTTGCAGCTGGAAAGCCGTTGTCGAGTGGTGTGCCACAGACGACGCCTCAGTCTGTGCAGAAGAAGAAGGTTGCAGCTGCAGCGTCCAGTTCTGATTCCGACTCTAGTGACGATGAGCAGCCAGTGAGTAAGAAGCCTGCGATAGTGAAGGCATCTCCGGTAGTTGGTAAACCTGCAGTGAGCATGGTTGGTGGTAAGAAGGTGGTTGGAAAGCCGGCGTCATCGAGTTCCGATTCAGATTCCAGTGATGATGGAGGAGCTGTTGCAGTGAAGAAGCCTGTTGTTGCAGCTGGAAAGCCGTTGTCGAGTGGTGTGCCACAGACGACGCCTCAGTCTGTGCAGAAGAAGAAGGTTGCAGCTGCAGCGTCCAGTTCTGATTCCGACTCTAGTGACGATGAGCAGCCAGTGAGTAAGAAGCCTGCGATAGTGAAGGCATCTCCGGTAGTTGGTAAGCCTGCAGTGAGCATGGTTGGTGGTAAGAAGGTGGTTGGAAAGCCGGCGTCATCGAGTTCCGATTCAGATTCCAGTGATGATGGAGGAGCTGTTGCAGTGAAGAAGCCTGTTGTTGCAGCTGGAAAGCCGTTGTCGAGTGGTGTGCCACAGACGACGCCTCAGTCTGTGCAGAAGAAGAAGGTTGCAGCTGCAGCGTCCAGTTCTGATTCCGACTCTAGTGACGATGAGCAGCCAGTGAGTAAGAAGCCTGCGATAGTGAAGGCATCTCCGGTAGTTGGTAAGCCTGCAGTGAGCATGGTTGGTGGTAAGAAGGTGGTTGGAAAGCCGGCGTCATCGAGTTCCGATTCAGATTCCAGTGATGATGGAGGAGCTGTTGCAGTGAAGAAGCCTGTTGTTGCAGCTGGAAAGCCGTTGTCGAGTGGTGTGCCACAGACGACGCCTCAGTCTGTGCAGAAGAAGAAGGTTGCAGCTGCAGCGTCCAGTTCTGATTCCGACTCTAGTGACGATGAGCAGCCAGTGAGTAAGAAGCCTGCGATAGTGAAGGCATCTCCGGTAGTTGGTAAGCCTGCAGTGAGCATGGTTGGTGGTAAGAAGGTGGTTGGAAAGCCGGCGTCATCGAGTTCCGATTCAGATTCCAGTGATGATGGAGGAGCTGTTGCAGTGAAGAAGCCTGTTGTTGCAGCTGGAAAGCCGTTGTCGAGTGGTGTGCCACAGACGACGCCTCAGTCTGTGCAGAAGAAGAAGGTTGCAGCTGCAGCGTCCAGTTCTGATTCCGACTCTAGTGACGATGAGCAGCCAGTGAGTAAGAAGCCTGCGATAGTGAAGGCATCTCCGGTAGTTGGTAAGCCTGCAGTGAGCATGGTTGGTGGTAAGAAGGTGGTTGGAAAGCCGGCGTCATCGAGTTCCGATTCAGATTCCAGTGATGATGGAGGAGCTGTTGCAGTGAAGAAGCCTGTTGTTGCAGCTGGAAAGCCGTTGTCGAGTGGTGTGCCACAGACGACGCCTCAGTCTGTGCAGAAGAAGAAGGTTGCAGCTGCAGCGTCCAGTTCTGATTCCGACTCTAGTGACGATGAGCAGCCAGTGAGTAAGAAGCCTGCGATAGTGAAGGCATCTCCGGTAGTTGGTAAACCTGCAGTGAGCATGGTTGGTGGTAAGAAGGTGGTTGGAAAGCCGGCGTCATCGAGTTCCGATTCAGATTCCAGTGATGATGGAGGAGCTGTTGCAGTGAAGAAGCCTGTTGTTGCAGCTGGAAAGCCGTTGTCGAGTGGTGTGCCACAGACGACGCCTCAGTCTGTGCAGAAGAAGAAGGTTGCAGCTGCAGCGTCCAGTTCTGATTCCGACTCTAGTGACGATGAGCAGCCAGTGAGTAAGAAGCCTGCGATAGTGAAGGCATCTCCGGTAGTTGGTAAGCCTGCAGTGAGCATGGTTGGTGGTAAGAAGGTGGTTGGAAAGCCGGCGTCATCGAGTTCCGATTCAGATTCCAGTGATGATGGAGGAGCTGTTGCAGTGAAGAAGCCTGTTGTTGCAGCTGGAAAGCCGTTGTCGAGTGGTGTGCCACAGACGACGCCTCAGTCTGTGCAGAAGAAGAAGGTTGCAGCTGCAGCGTCCAGTTCTGATTCCGACTCTAGTGACGATGAGCAGCCAGTGAGTAAGAAGCCTGCGATAGTGAAGGCATCTCCGGTAGTTGGTAAGCCTGCAGTGAGCATGGTTGGTGGTAAGAAGGTGGTTGGAAAGCCGGCGTCATCGAGTTCCGATTCAGATTCCAGTGATGATGGAGGAGCTGTTGCAGTGAAGAAGCCTGTTGTTGCAGCTGGAAAGCCGTTGTCGAGTGGTGTGCCACAGACGACGCCTCAGTCTGTGCAGAAGAAGAAGGTTGCAGCTGCAGCGTCCAGTTCTGATTCTGATTCTAGTGAATGTGGTGTTTCGGGAAGGAAGAAGTTGTGCCTGCCGGCCGACGTCGGGAATATGTCGGGTGTATGTGATTCTAGTGTGAATTTCGCTGCCTCTTCTCGTCGGGTGTCATTTGTGTCTCCTGGTGCTATGAATTCTTCTGTGGGCTCTGTTTCCGTTTGCAGTGGTGGTGTGAATGGTCGTAAGCGTGCTTATTCCTATGTGAAGGATTCTGATAAATTGAATGGTTCGGCGAATATTGCTAGCGATACATCTTTTAATCAGAGTGAAACATCTATAACATCTGTTACTCCTGACAGTGCTAGAAAATTTAGAGCAGGTAGTACACCTTTTCGTCGTGTTGTTGAAGATGAAGTGTTTGTGCATCCTAACTTGAGGGATAATTCGTTCGATGCAAAGGTTAGTTTTATCAAATTGAATAATATTCATTCGGTATGACTGATTTTGAGTTTCCTACTAGAGCTATGTAAATTTTTGTATCTGCATTATTAACTAGTAGGTGAATATGGGATTATATTAGTGAATATTTTAAATTTTTCATTCAGTGTTTAATTTTGTAATATAAACTGCGTGGTATACTGTTTGTAGATTCACTTCATCCCGTCTTTAGTTGAAAGAAATTTCATTTGTTTATGCCTTCATTGTAGCTCACAGGTATTATCTCTAATGGTCATCCTAATGGCTTCAAGATTTAGTACATACGATTTTATGGATTATAACAGGGTCATATGTTTCTGTTTTGTGATATTTTCGATCACTTAGCTGAAAATTATTTTCCCCTTTAGCAGAAGAGACACCTAATTTCATTTGATAGACAAAATTCTTAAACGGAGAATGTTCTAACTAAATATTCGATGTTTTAAGTGAAGCAGTATTTTATAAACTATTCTACTTTTTATGCATCGAGTGACAAGTGCGAATTTCATGCTTGGTAAAACTTTCCGAAGCAGCAGCCTCTGAAGTCATGAGGGTGTAGAAACAAGCAGAAATTAAAATCTTTTGAGCATAATGTAACACTAGTGGTGAGGGAATATGATAGGGACTTAACTAGGGTATCGAGTCAGATCCAATAACATGTTAGGAGGAAATGGATATGTATTGAGAAATTCACATAATGCATTATGGCAACTAATATACTCTAAATCCACGTGGCAACTCGAACTGCTGCACTTCGGTGTTCTATGTTGAATCCAGATAGACAGACAGACATACTCTAAATCGATGTTTTGTTTTTAAACAAAGGATTAGTTTAAGTGATCGAATTTTTCTCTCTGCGGTAATTCCTAATGACAAAAGAAAGTTTGATCAAAGAATATCCTTTTCGTTAACTTTCTCATCTCAACGAAATAAATAGTTACAATCCAATATATATATTTTTTCTATTCTTTCTGCCTTAAAAAAAGCTTTTTGTCAACTCTAACTTTATTTTCTCTCTTACAGCGAAATTCACATGGTTCATGGGGCGAAAAAGCGAATCGTGATTTCAAGTTTACCAGTGGTAAGGTATTCAAACAAGAGAAGACTAAAAAGAAAAGAGGAAGTTACGTAGGAGGTTCTCTTTCTACAGTTCCATGTTCTTTTAAGTTTGATGATGAGTGAACAGCTTATGACATTCACCTGTAAATATGTTTTTGTTAATATGCATTCTGTAAATAAAAAAAACAGGGTGATAAAAATTTCCTTTTTGTAAATTAGTATTTTTTGTTTGTTTGAACATATATTGCTACTTTCACTGGTTAGGAAAAACCTCATTGTACTCATCCCAAGCGATATCAGATTGCATATTGTCAAACGAAAGGCTTTGGTTTCTGTTGGATCAGCTAGTTACCTAAGTTTATTATGTTCTTTGTTGGTTAATATCAGCCATTAGTGAAGGATTGATTTACCATCTAATAAGTCTTATCATCGAAATCTCGAGAGGACTGAAGGCATCTTGATTTCAAGTGCTCGAATAACTGACATCAGGTTATGATTTGGTTACTAATCCTTCTGAAACACTTGTGTAGACGCATATGGTAACATCTGAAAGGACTTTTGTGCAAAGTTCCGCTTTGATAACTCTCTCTAACCTGGGGTTCAATCGAATGAGTATTCGATGTAAGGTTTACAGAGTGTTACGAGGTCAAAAATTTTATAAAATTCGCTAGCACTTATTCATCGTGAAACTGCAGCTTAAGTATTTCAGATATATCATCTTTTAGTTAAGGCCTGTAGTGGGTTCATTTTTGAATCTAGGTCATCAATAGGATTCTTCGTTTTGACACATAAGTAAACATTAATTTATAAATCGTCGGTCGGTCGGTTTTCGACATAGAACTTTGCACCGGTGTGCAGCCGTTTAAGTCGCCATACTTCACTCAGCACACAAAGCAAGAGAAGAAAGTAGGAGAAATGCCTAATAGAGACAGTAAACAGAGGTGTGAGACAAAGGAATAGTAATAACGAAGAACAAAACAGTTTCATTGGAAATCATAAGTCGCAAGGAGTGGATGCATCTGCGCCACTGAGAACGATTTTGAGCCATGTCACCAATTGTTTCCAACCATTGGTTTTTACCGTCCCTAGGACCCAAACCAGTCAGGAAGTCTACACCTTCCTACGTGGCTTAGACTAACTGTTGTGGATTTCATTGACTGGTGCCATGTTTTGGTTTGACCGCCGCTAGCTCTTTTCCAGCCTGACCCTATATCAACTAACATTGCCCGTCGAGGAAGGCGATGACTAGGCATACGTAGCACATGTCCTAACCATCTCAGTCGATGTAATTTCACAGTTTCGTCTATTGATTTCCCCTCCTTACCTAGCACTCGACGCCTAACCTCAATATTGCTCACCTTATTATACCACTTCACGCGGGAGATAGAACGCAGACACCTATGATCGAAGACAGCTAATCTTTTCATGTCTTCCGCTCTCAATGGCCAGGTCTCACAGCCATAAAGGAGGACGGAGCGGACTGTTGAGTAGTACACACGCCCTTTGGTCGATAGTCGGATATCACGTCTACGCCAGAGACGGCGTAAACTGGCATATGCGAAACTAGCCCTCTGTATTCGTGCTGAGATTTCGTCGGAGATCAACCCGTTGGGGCTGATGGTACTTAAATTTATATATATTTATATTTAACTTATAAATGTTTTAATCGTTCACTTTTAAAGCTGAATGATTATTTTACTACTTTGCTGCGATATGAATTTAGTCTCAAAGTCGTTAAACCATTTCCATAGTATATGATAGTCACTGAATTACTGGATGCACTACTCATACACAGCAGGGAGTTGGAATGTGTCGATAGAATTGTATCACTAAAGTTTTGCACAACTCACCAGTTATTTATTATAAAGCATTGATCAAGAGGCTTCATTTGATCAGCTTGTAAAATATCAACTTCTGTGTAGATCCTGAAGTTATTTGTTCGCTGGTACTTATCAATAGAATTATTTACTACTTTGCCTAATAAGGTTAATTTAAGTCGACTAGTTGATATCTCATTTTTGACCACATATATGTACAAGGTTTATTGAGGGAATCACTATTTAATGCTGTTTACAAAGCAAAAGCGTGATTTATTCAGTTAGCCAAGTGTAAGAAAGGTAATTAACTGCCGTTACGCTTAGGATGTATTAATTATTTAAGGGCTCAAGAGATGAAGGGATGTTAACGTTTACATAAACTACTGTGTATACAAACGAAAGTTCTTATCCTTCAACTTCTGTACTACATATTCTGCTTAGACTAAGGGCGAATCAAATTGATCGTCCGAAATGTGAGGTATATTTCGGGATCAGAATCGTAGTAATATGATGATTGCTTAGCTAACTAGGGATCCTGCACGAACAGGTGAACGTAACATGACAGCGTGCCGAATGTCTTGGATGCTTAACTGTGGACCCTTAGCTTAACGAGTCGACTTAAGTAGTGAAGGTCATCATCCAATGTTGAGTGTGGAATGCTATAGGGAATTATTTATCGCTACAGGATAAAACGATTTCTGAAGTTACGTCAACCAAGTGGATTAAACATGTTCAGCTGCCATCTGCTTAGAACCAATGAAATTATTACTGTAGAGAAGTCAGAAGAAGATAAGAAATCAGTCTATAGGATTGTCTTGACTACTGGTCTTATCGATACTAGCTTAGGGCAACATCTGAAAAGAAATCAATTACTTAAATTCATTTTTCTAGTTCAACTTCTCTTGTGTTTACTACATATAGTTTTTCCTTACTGGTATTCTTTGACTTAGCTTTGATTTCGTTATTTCAGACACTATGGTTGCTTGGATCGGTATATGACTAAATACACCTCTGTGTATTTTAAGAAAGGAACAGTGAGGTTATTTCACATCCACCTCCTTACATTAGTATGGTTCTTTATGTCATATGTAACTGTTGGGATTCATAGTAAAATGAGAAGATCAACAGGAACAGGAAAGTAATATGGATACTACAGGTAACTAAGATGTCTGCTACCATCCTAAGTGGAGTCTGTTTCAGTCTAGCGAACACAACGGCCTTTCGGCGTTTACAGAAACTGGTTATTGTTATGTTTTGGTTGTTGAGACCAACCTTATACAAATTATCACCATGTTATGATAAACTGTGACTTGAGATGATCGCTACGCCTTCCGTGTTTATGACTCTACATTTACTCTAATAAAGCTTGCTGGTTTGTTGATTTGCAGGGATCACGAACTCACTTCAGTTAGAGAATCACTAAAGGCCAGGGAGCACTGGATAGTTGTTTCGTGCTAGTTTTTACTTTTCATCAGTAGTCATTCATTTTAGAATCAAGCACAACACGGAATTTTAACGAATGCTAGAATATGCCACCCTCAAATCAAGCTAGATGATCTGAATAGATCATTGATAAGTGTGAACTTGCGCTAATATATAAACGATTGCTACTATATTACTATTTTTATTATTCATTCCTTACGTTTCTAGTGGGACATAGGGCTTCCACTTGATTCTCTGCTCTCACTTTCACCTGGCTCCAAGTTCTTATTCCCCCCTCACGTGATGTCCTTCATTTTACGCTGGGACAAGCTTCCTACTCAGGTTTGACTCATGGACTTGCTGTGTAATAGTTTTCAGTGTCCAGTCCATCTCCATTTCCTTCTGCATATTTGTTGAGAAATAGGTCGTTGGCTGGTTAGGTGTCTGCTGGAGTTCCTTGTTTCTTACCGTTTCCGATTGGCCATTCGGTCTTTTTATCGAGCCAGCGAAATCAGCTGTTGATTAAAGTTTGTTGGAGGCTGTTAGAAATGCCTTCGTTGACAGCTGCGCCAAGTGTTTGAAGTATACAGAGGCATTTTTTTTGATTTGACATTAGTCTTGAAAATTCTGACTTTGTTCTTTATGATGGGTACAGTAGGTTTCCACGCTGATTTTATAGTGATGAAGGTCTGTGTTGCTTTCCCAATAGTGATTTTGACATGTTTATCTGTGCGGCTTCATTGACCTCCCCGTTGTGAATCACTTGGCATTATCATATAGCTATTGAATGTTGCCGCAGCTCCCAAATAACTTCACAGTCGACGCTGTCAAAAGTCTTCTCAAAGTCGATGAATTTTAGGTACGCAGTTGACTGCTATTCGAAGTTGATGTCTAATATTGCAATTTGATCAGCATATGACTCATTTTCTCCTAATCCAGCCTGTTCTGGGCGAAATCTTCCATTCAGGGCATCTTCCAGTTCTTTCAGGATGATGAGGCTTAATATTTTGCAGAGATAGACAGAGTTGGTGTTCACTGATATTCCTGTGTCTACTGGTAGTGGTGGCATTCATGGACTAGTTGTAGATGGTGGTCTATTCAACGTTCCTTTGAAGTGGTCAACCATTATTTCCTTTTACTAACTTCTGTTTCCAGATGGTGATCTGGTGATTCGATATAGTGTTGCAAGGTCACTTTCACCTACGGCCTCTTCTGTTTCAGTCGCCGGTGTATCATAAAGACGTCTTTCGTCCTTGACCCCTTGTTCAGTTCTCAGTATATTATACTAAGTTTCCTTTACATTTTACTTAAATTGCTTACTTGATAGTAAATCGCACAACTTGTAAGGCTACTGTGGTCATTATGGTGACAGAGAGGGAAAATATGTACTCACGGGTGTATCAACCAGTACATGATAATCTTATGGCTTGATTTAAAAAAAGATAAAATCAGTTAACAGACTAAATATAAATTTTTCCAAAGAATGGTTACTGAACAAAGAATACTCTTCGATAAATTCGTCATCAGTTTGTACAGTTATATTTACGTAATAGTGAATGAATTAGTGTTATTAACGACATTAATGTTTAAATAACATCGAATCAATAATAACAATGGATTACAGTCCAGTAGCATCAACATAACAATAAACTGAATGTCAGAAAAATTAGGAAAGATAATAATACAAATTCATGAATTTATAGTCTCTACTGAAGACCGGCCAGGGCAGTAGTAGTATCTGGACTTGCTTCTTTTGCTCACAAAGACTTGGTTGTTTCACGCGAATCGTGATAGCCTCTACTGTTTGGAGTATGCGGTACCTCGATGTTTTCAGCAATTTATTCGGTACCCGGTAGATGATAGAGAAGGATTTGTCAATGCTGGCTTTGTGTCCGGTTTGGACTAGGTGGTCTAATATCGAACTGTTGATGGCTTTGCTACACCTTTATTTAGCCACACTGGTAGGTGTCCGTGAGTACGAAAAATCAAGTTCCTAGAGCAACAGCCAATATAACTCGCTCCACAAGCGCAGTT